CCCCGTTACAAACCCCCCTTTACGTTGGGGGGCGCGGCCGGCCGGGACCGCCATGGCGGCCTCGGCCGGGGACAGCTGTGGAGATCACCTTGTTGACATGCCTTCTACTTTATTTTCACTTTTTTTCCGTTCCCCCCCTCCACTCCCCCCGATGTTTAATTGTGACGGTTCCTACAAAGATGAGCGTGTTTGTTTGCTCTGTCAGCGAGTGCCAGACCCGGGGCCGGTTTAAGGATCATCACGTACGGCCTGGCCCAGGCTGAGGAGAGGCGAGGGGAGCCGGCCTGCCCCCCCCCGGGGGGCTCATGGAGGGTCAGGGCTTGTTTGGGGACCAGAATCGTGCGAGGGACGGTCCTGTTGAGACAGGCAGCCCGTGGGGTCTGTCCCCTGCCAGGGGTTTTGAAGCCCAGGTGCGTGACGGAGCTGTGACGGTGTCAGGAAATGCAGCTGGTGTCTCCCAAATGGAGTGTAATTGGGCGCACCTGGTGCCTGAGAGCATTTAAGCCCCGGTGCTCAGGTAGTATCCCTTCCCGGCATCTCCGTCTGGAGTGCTGTGAGGATGCAGGCTCCTGTCTTGTAAGCTCTGAGTATTACTGGTGCTCTGTTTAGTTTTGGCCTCTTACGCTGATTGTTTTTTTTCCTAAACCAGCGTAGATACTGAATGAAAGCTGTGAAGTTGTAATTTTTGCCCCTAAATCCCAAAGAGCAGAAAGAAATCAAAATTAATTTTGTGCTTCCCCAAAATTCCCGTGTCAATATACTTTTGATCTATAAGCCCCTTGGAAGGTGGCATAACGTAAACTTTAAAGCCCTTATGCTTCTAGGGCAGTGCTAAGTACTTAGAAAGGTAACAGGTCCATGTTGTTGTGTCTTAAATGTTAGGTACGTTTCCTAAATCAGGTTGGTTGTAGGAAATAAAAGCAAAGTCATTGATGAACTTTGGTTAGTTGCGATCTTGAATACAAATGACAAAAGAAGTATATCCTCTTCCTTATGGAGGAAGTCTCGTTAGTGATAAGTAATGCTAAATAAAGTACTCTGCAGTGAGTCTTCCTCTGTTATTGAACTGAAGTTCACCTGTAGATGCCTCGGGATCTTTCTGCAGAAGGACTTAAGTCTGACACTTGCCTAAGTCCAGTAAGGTTCCTCGGAGATGATTTCTGCTCTGGCCTTACAGCCTCTTTCTGATACCTTAGACACAGAAATGCGTTTGACTTAAGTTTTCTTTATTTAATTGCTTGGTATGATGTTTGTGTCCATTTATGAATTCATTACTTGATTTGTGTTGTTTATTCCTTATGCTGTGTATTATGTATTTAAGAATTTAAATGAAATTATTTTCAGCTTAGTCTTTTGGATGTGTCCCCTTTGTAGGTTTAGGAAAGTAATCATTTAAGGCAAGAGGCTATTAGTTGTGTCTTATTTGTTATCTAGTCTCTGCTCTTCAGAGAGAACTTATGGAGCAAGTTCTGTGCTTAGCAAAACTCTTGCTTGTCTGTTGAAAGTTGTCCATCGTGCCTTGAAATCTTATTTTGGCTTGAAGTAAACACTGGCTTTGTTCCGTTACTGAACTGAGAGGGGAGGTTTCATGTCACACTGTTGGCCTGAGTCTACTTAAATCTTGATGACAGCTACTAGTCATGAATCAGGTCTATTCTTCTAGGAATTTTTTAACAAGAAACATCACTTTAAAAGTTAAAGAAAAAAATCAGCAGAAACTCAGTATTTCTTCCCAGCTTTTTTGCATGTGTCGTGTTGCCATGATGGTGAGCTGTATGTGTAATGGTAAAATTTTAAAAATAAATAAAACTGTTGGAGATCTCCTGTGTCTATGTTTTGGATGTCTTCAGCCATCTTGGGGGTGACTGTGGGGAAGGTGAAGGACAGCAGCTGCTCAGTAGTTTACAGCTGAAGTCAATCGATGCAAGCTGCAGCAAGGGAAATTCAGATTAGATGTAAGGAAGGGGCTTTTCACAGGAAGGCTGTATGACACTGGAACCAGGGGCCCAGAGGTGGAAGAAGTCCCGTCCTTGGGGAAGGTCTTGACTCAGCTGGCCAAGGCAGCTTGATCTATCTTTTAAAAGTGACCCTGCTTTAAGCAGGGGTTTGGGCCAGATGACCTCCTCCAAAATGGTTGGAGTCTACAATATACATTCAGTCATAATTCTTACCTTAGTATTTTTGCATGTGTGTGTGGTGGTGGTTTTTTTTTCCACTTCTTTTGTGCACTAATGTGTGCTTTTGGAGTGAACTAGAGGCCCTTATATGCCATAAACTCATGTAAATTAATGAGGATGTGTAATCTGAAAGAGAATTCAAATGTTGATGTAGGTAAATTGTTTTGAAGATGTTCTGCTAATTTCAAAACCAAAGTTAAAATAGCTATTAATTAAATTAATCTCTTGAAATGGTTGCATGCATTTGTTCATTTTCTAATGTGTGTGATTTTATAAGCAGGATCTTTTTTAAAGTGTTACATTCTTGTGAAGTGCTTTTTTTAAAAAAGTTAAATTCATATGCAGAATGCACCTGTTCTCGTTGATTGTATTCAAAGAATAGGTTAATTAAAGTGAAGGAACTAGTTAGTTTTTACAAGCTTTCTCAAGTTTGGAACTCAAATTCAAAAGAATGTGTTAGAAAAAGATTCAGCCCACCATGATCTGTTGGGTGTTTTGCAGTTTATAAACCTGTTTACAGTTGTCTGACATTTGTGTGGGACTTTCTTAAAATATTACTCCACCCACTTGCTTCTACCTGGAAGTTTCTGTTGGTCACTTGCATCGGATTGCTGGGAAAGTTTTCCTGTGCTCAGCTACCCATGTGTTGGGGAGCATGGGGGGAGAGGCTGTTGCACAAGCAGTGGGATGGGGGTGGGTATAATACTTTTGTATAATTCTCAGAATTAAAGCACAGAGTGTTTGCGGTGGCTGTTTCCAGTTTAATGGTTTAGTGTCATGTATTTAGGAGTTACGCTGGGAAGAAAGTGACGCTTTGCTCTTGCCACACTTAGCAAGAAAAGCTACTCAGTGATGTTTCCAAATGTTCTCTCAAAATAGTATCTTGCCCAGCCAGCTGCTTCGTGCCCCCTGACATATGCTCTGTGAAATGTTGTTGCCAACTCATCAGCAGTTGTTTCTCATCGTATTTCCCATTATCTGTTTATGATTAAACAAAGCCCTGAACTCTGCTGGTGGGTTGGTAGTGGCCTTTCACTGCTATTGCTTTGAAAACAAAGCATGGTGCAAGTGTGTTTATATTTTAAAAAAATATAGTGCAAGCCATAGAAATAGCATTTATCATAGAGTGAAATACAACTGGCTGGCATACAGAATCAGATTTCACTAATAGATACATATTGCATGCTAATTGACATAAAAACATCTGATTATTCTTAGGAGAGCAACAGATTTTTTTTTTTCCCCATGGAATTTTTGTCAGTCTTCCAAACTTCAGAGAAAATCTGTGGTTTAGAAGTTGGTAGGGTACCTTATTAGCCCTGTATTTGGTCATCTTACCTGTATTTTTTTACACCGTGTTTATCAATATGGTATATAAATGTATTCTGGACTTCAGTCCTTAACCTTAGATTGGACTTTGTTTAGCTATGTTGGTGCGCTGCCCTTGTTGTCTTTGCCCCCAGCCCCTCATAGGTGGATGCCCGCTCTCAGACCTGTCCCAAAGCTGTGAGCTACAGACCCTGCTCTCTCTGGAATATTGTCATTTAGACTTTCTCTTTTTCTGCACCAAGGAGTCCTTGTATCCAAGCCCCTCAGTAAAGTAAGTCCCTTTCTTCATGTCCAGCCTAACATCCTAAAACTTGCAGTTCAGCTTTTCTCTCAGCTTCCTGCTCTCCTGAAATGCTAGCCCTCCAGGCAGCACCATTGCCTTCCTCGCTGCCACCAGACTCTGTGTCCTGTGCAGAAATCCCTGTGACGCACTGCAGCTGCCTCTGCCAGCATGGCCCCAGCTGATCGATGGCGCTGCCGAGGGGAGCTCTTCCAGGAAGAACCAGCACAACCTTTTTTCCTAGTGCTAGTTTGGCTGCTGCCACCCATTTCATCTGTGCGTTATGGATAGCTTCAGTATGAGGGAATGGAAGGGATGATGGCATATGCTTTCGTTTCTGTTTACAGCTGCAAAGTGTGCCCTAGTTAGTCACAATTTCTTGTCCTGCTTACCTTCCAGTAGCATTGTCAGGCATTTCACATGGTTGTTTAGAGAGGAAAGAATGTAAGGAGAAGGGAAGAGCTGCAGAGACCTTTGCTGCAGCTGACAGTCATGATGAATATACCTTGGGTATGTCAGCTTTAGACATCTGAAAGCAGTGATTTTTTTCCCCAAAATAGAAACAAAAGAAACTCTTTGATAGCTGAATCACCTCCTGACTGAAGAAGATGTCTGTTCTATTGTTTTTCATGCTGTGATCCAGTAATTGCTCTCTGGCATTATAAGGAAAGATCTTGAGCTAAACAAAAACTTCAGGCAGCTTCTCAGCTCTCTGTGAACACTTCTCTATAAAACACTTTTTAGTAATGTCAGAAATGTTGCTACTTGGAGAGGATCTTGGGAATGGTTGCTTTGTATGCCTGGTTGAGGAGCCACAAGAGTTTTCTACTAAATTGCGTTGGTGTGGATTTGAAAATGGTTTTGCATTTTACTCAGGACCAAGTCAGGGATTACATCTTGTTTTGTGCAGTAACTCGCTGCTCCATAAAACAGTAGTCAGCAGTAGCTAAGATTAAGTTTGGAGATTACCTCCTGGTTTGGCCTTCATGGTTCAGTCTGTGTAGACAGGGAAAACTCAGTGACTTTACCTTTGCCTTTCCTGCCTTTTTCTCCTCTTGGGTACCCTTTAGCATATTGCAGTCAGCTTTGCCATCCTGGCAGACA